GTGCTGGTGCTGGTGCTGGTGCTGGTGGTGCTGGTGGTGGTGCTGGTGATGGTGGTGGTAACGGGGTGGAAGGGAGAAAAAAAGGAGAAGACGACGTCAATGGAGGCGCGCGGAAGTAGGTCACTCACCTGTGCACCTTAATGTAGTTCCATAGAGCGTAGAAGATCTGTGATCGTGTGCCTGTGTGTAAGCCGAGCAGGCGAGCCAGGCGGGCGTCTAGTTTATACTGTGGTGGCTGATAGTCGAGCATCAGCAGAATGGTGCAGCGCACATTGTTCATGCCCTTTCGCTTAACCTAATTCAAACGAAAAAAGACAAAGGGCATAGAATGCACCATCTCAAAGTGTGTGGAGTCGTGCAATGACTGAATACATGGCGTAATACCGGGGGCTGGAGGGCAAGCGATGCAATTTTGAGAGCCTGCAAATGAATGGCCGAGTGCTCACCTGGAAGCCGTCGGTTTCGGCCGTTGAGGGAGTCCTGTGCCATTCTACTAAATGATTGTCCGGACCGTAGAGATCCCGGTCGAGTTCAATTACGAGAGACTTGAAGAAAGTGGAGAATTTGCGTCGATATCTGAGATCCAGAGCCGCGTTACCGCTTTGACCCGTCTGAATGTAATGGTAGAGGGACGAAAAAACGCGCATGTTCGTATGGAATTGTTAGTACTATAAGAGCAATTGTCTCGCAGGAAAGGACCAGGAAATTGAAGCAATGTACTTAAGAGCAGACAAGAGTTGAGAACCAAAAGAAATGAGTTAAGAGCGAAGGCAATGCGGGTGCAGAAAAGGCCTGTCAAGCCACAAGTATAAAGGTGCCCTGACAGTTTAATTGCCATAGTGAGGATGATCAAAGCACAGTTGGAGCGTCGACTCCTACGAGGTCCACTGTGTACCCCACCACAGGGTAGTTGTAGGAACGGTGACTTGCGCGTGATTTTTTTTTACTCATAGTAAACTTACGCTAAACCTACCGCACTTTCTATTTCCCCACCCTCTTGGGGTCCGGTTTTATGACGAAGTTAAGAAGGCCATGACACCTGCTATGAGTGCACGTGAGACTTGGAAGATTGTCAGTTGACGGGATACTTCGGACTACGCAGTCAGCCTAGTGTGCATTTGTGTGAAGTGGCCAACTGGCCGACTGGGAGCCAGACTGCAGTGACCCCTTAATGTAGCCTCTGTGGCCATCGCACTCCGAGGGATTGGAAACACGAACGCTTAGGGACGGCTTCGACCGCGCCAGCCACCTGCGCTTTCTCCCGCCTCCGGTCTTCTTGACTTGGTTATGGCACTGGGCCCGAGTGGAGGGAGAGAAAAGAATACATCAGATACAGCGCAAACATACTGTCCTCATAATCTAGTTCACACGCAAGTAACCGCGCTTGTTTCCAACCTGCTGTGAAGCACGCAGTGGACACCGTCGAACCCGACGGTCGAAGTTTCGTGAGAGCGCGTTCTCAATAACACATGCCGGGCCATGAATTGGCCCCTGAGATGGTCCAACACACGTACTGCGGACATATTACAGGAGCCAGGGTGTACCGACAGTTTGATCGTCGCTCTCCACGATGTCCACCATGAGCTTCAGCAAGCTGGAGCAACGCGGTGACTCCCGCCGAATTATAGTGAGAGAAGATTTGGGGAGAATCTACCCCACGCTACCCTGCACCTGTACCTGATGTCAAGACAAAAGTCAAGAAGACCGGAGATGGGGGAGGGTGCAGGCAGCTGGCGTGACCAACACTCAACACGCGCACCAACAGCACACCTCGCTAGGTAGACTCCCGTCTGGGAACGCCATAAAGGCCAAATTAAGGAGCCATTGCGCCTGACTTTCAGCCTGCAGTAGGCAGGCAGGCAGGCACACAGTTATCTGTGAGAAACGTCAGGACAATAAACCTCTTGTTCGAGTGATCGCTTCTTCTTCGTCTTCTTCTTCTTCTGAACCTCGAATCTGTCGTGTAGTCCGGCGTAAGCTGCCAGAGACTAGGACAGGATAGCTATTTCTGGCTTATTAGCTGTCGTCAGCTAGCGATACCCAACTCCAGTGTTGCCGCTGAAATTGCTGCCACACTCGAGTTTCGAACCGGCGATCTCTCTGGTCAGAGTCAAACACCCTAACCGTTTGGGTTACGGGTTCGCTGTCTTGTCGGTTCTTGATCGGGAGTATATAGTAGTAGGTAATTGTACACCGATCCGTTTCAGGACGTACCCGTCCTGGTGGATGCCTTTGCAAGCTCGGATACGTCTAAGCGTATTTCGCAATGCGACTATTTGTAATGTTACTTACTAAGTTTCAGTAACAGTTTATTTTATGTTTAGGTATTACCGACAAAGACTGAAGTGTTACCTTTTCCAGCAGCTGGCCCTCCACTTTCAACTCCCATCCAGGCGGCATGCTTTCTGTGAGAGGTTGACCGTCGACACCAATAGAGCCCACAGTGCCAGGTCGGAAGGTGCTGCTTAGGACAACTCGGAGAGTACGTTTCGTCTACAGTGGGGAGATAGACAGGTGAGTAATTAGAGGGAATACAGTATACTTCCGTACTTACTGAGAATGAATTGAGCAAAGTAAAAATTAGTTGATAAACACGCACCGATCTGCTGTGGGACTAACTCATCTCGTTCTGCCTTGGGAAGAGCCCAGCAAGCAGGCGCAATGCGACTAGTACTATTGACGAATGAAGATTGCCGATAAAGACAAGGGAGACCGGAATGGCGACCACGGGGTTGTGGAATACAGTGCTGACTTGCACGCTTTTTCCGGATATTTGCACATTAAGTAGACCTCTAAAGGTACACTGCATCCGAGTCCTGGGGGTTCGTGCTCCAAAATCATCACCGGAGCCTGACTCTTAGTAAGTAGGAGAATCGGGTTGTCTTTTTACTCGGCTTGCCTCCAGGCCCGGAAACTTAACCAGTCGACACAAAAACGCGTCATAGTTTCATAACTTTGAATTTGGTCTCAAATGAATCTATTCAAATCCCTGCTCTATCTCTTCTGGCAAGTAGAAGTAGCATATCCGAATCGTAGAGGCTAAAAATGCCGAAGAGTCGCAGCAGCCGATATGATACAAAGTCTTTATCCAAAGCGTGTCATAAACACGGTTTAACCCCGCTGAAGGTCCAACACAAGAACAATGTCTGTTTCGGAGGCTTGAGTCTCCCCATCTAGCTACAGTAACTCCTTTACCAACAAAACGCCACGAAAACGGATTACATATAAACAGGGAACCAGTCCCCTGTTTCCCTATGTTTGCATGAGGATGGCCGTCTTTCGTGGGCGTACGAAAAAAACGATTGCAATAATGTTTTGGCAGGATACGAGAATAGGAACCCCCTCCCTCCCTATTCCGGATGTTTATGCCAGCTCTTCTCCATCTTCGGTTCTCCTTCGTACATAGACACTGATGGAGGAGCTTTTATGTCAAACGACGTACAGCAATCCTCCATGACAAGGGGTTAGCGACAAGTAGGACTACTCCGTATAATCCCCAGGGAAAGTTGCGTGTTTGAAGCAAACTTTATGGAAGACCATTTTATTTGCTTTGAAATCTCGAAATCTGCCACGCACTGGGAATCCGTTCTCATGGACGCTCAACACTCTATTAGGTCACTTCCGTGTACCGCCCCCAATACGGCACCACATGAAAGAATGTTTACCTATGATCGGAGGTCAACCACTGGAACCAGTCTTCGTATGTGACTCACTTCTTCTCACAAGTCCTGTTGAAGAAGAGTAGCCAACAGTCTAAATATGATCCACACTTTGAGGAGGTTGATCTGCTCCAGTGCAATCCCTAGTAGGCTCACATACGATTTAGTGATAGCAGAGAAGAAAAAGTATCCTTTCGACTGCTTGCTCCTGGTGGTGAAAAGGATCCCGATGGTCATCATTAGTAGACGACCACACCCTTAATCGAAAATCTCATTCCAGTTTCGCCTGGCCAACCACCCAATACCGAACAGGAGAACAATGCCAGTTGTACTAATAACCAGAATGTAACAACACCTAATAGTGTCCATAGCGAAGACGATGTCCATAAGCATAACCTGCAGACATTGATGAAACAAA